AGAGCAATGGGTTTTTCCTTCAACGTGGTCATTACTCCTGATCTCTTTTTACTACCCAGCTGCAGGTGATGATATTCTGCCAACGTCTTTGAGTCTTCTGTCTCTGTGCCAGGTTCAGCCACGTTTGATAACGTTTTCCTGCGTTATCAGGGACAGAAGGTTGGTCATGTAAATCTAATTCCATAGGAAACCAGCTTAAATTTGCATTATTTGTTTTCTAAGACGATTTGCATTTATGTAGCAAGCTTCATATGCAAATATTAGGCCTAGCAGCACCTCAGTTTTTGACAGGCAAATAATTTTAATGCATGCTGGACCTCCTCTGTGCTGTGGTGAGGGGTGGGCTATTTAGAAAGGCTGGTATGCACATTTCACTGGCGTTTAAGACCAGGTTGGATGGGGCTTTGAGCAACGTCTAGTGGGAGGTGTCTCTGCCCATGGCAGGGGGGTTGGAACTCGGTGATCTTTGAGGTCCTTTCCAACCCAAACCATTCTATGATTCTATGATCACTGAGGAGAAAGTACTTTCATGTGTGAAAGTACGTCACACCAGTTAAGAGAGAATGAGATCAATCCTCAGCATTTCTTTCTCTTTGACAGGAAATATCATAAGTTAAAACCAAAGTAAAATCAGATTTCATCATAGGGGTTCCTGACTCATAAATGAGTTTTACAGCTTTCTTTGAATATGACTGTGGACCTGGAGGTAACTCACAGTAGAAGGATAGATAGAAATAAGAGAGGCTGTGGAATCTCCATCTTTGGAGACTCAAAATTCAGCTGGAGAAGCACCTGAGGAACATCATTTCACTTTGAAGTTACTCCTGTGCCGATCTGCAGGCTGGACTAGCCTCAATATAAGGCTGCCAAAAACTTACCATGTGCCTTCACACGGGCTTACACAGACTTCCTTCTCAGTCACCCTTGTGCAACATAAACTCTTAAACTCCTGTTTTCCTGGAAGTTGCAGCTGTGGAGAATCTTTTTGCTGATATATTGGATTTTTAGGGGGTATTATTAGCTTGTTGAAATGAAACTGCTGTTGGTACGAAAAGCTTTTAATATGAAACCAGGATGAGGTGACCTGAAACTAGGATGACTTCATTGTTTTGCCAACTATAGATGTTCTTATAAGGCTGTTATGTCTTGGCCGTGTGTGCACGTGGAAGCTAATGAGGACGAATGTGTAAGTTTCATAACACTAATGCTAGATAGAATGGTAATCCCCTTGCTAAGAGGAGAACCACCAATGCCCCATCTCTCCCCTTGAAGAAGACAGCAACTGACCAGTGCCTTATTTGATTCAGATGGATCATTGGGTGGGCTGTCAATCACCAAATTGCTCACAGTTTATTATATTTTGCTATAATTATGTACAATCCATTGTTGGACTAGGTGGTCTTTAAAGAGCCTTTCCAGCCCAAACCATGATTTGATTCTATGCTCCTTAGCAAAGATTTCTAAAATTCTTCCCTTTGTCTTCTGTTAATTGTCTCGATCTCGTAAAACCAGCACAATTTGGTGTCCCCTTAAAATCAGTGTGCCTGGCCTGGCTGTCTTCCTTCTCTTGGGGAGAGAGGGGAAGATTTACAAGAAAGCAAGAAACTGCAGGAAAAACTTGATGCTTCCACAGAGTCTTTTCCTCACACCCAACTGTGTTGGGTTTCAAGCCTGAATTCTCTTTGTTCTTGCCATTTCTTTGCAGGATAAAGAAGATAATGACGGGCAACAAAGAGTTAAGCCACTAACTAAAGTATAGTGGAAAATAGCTGTTTTCCTTTTGAAGCTGAAGGTGACATTCGAAAAGTCGTGCGTTGGGTGGCTGGTTACTGCTCCCTGGGTTGCAATTGCTTCTCAGTCTCACGGGGTTCTGGCACAGACCAGGACAAATGGCAATCTCAATTAAAGAAGACTCTAACGTATATTTACAATCAGTTTTAATTTCTTAAAGTGAGGGTGGGATAGACTTTTAAGTGTTGTCTGTTGGTCGAGAGACTGCACAGCGTGAGGATAACGAAATGCTGGAAGAGGAAAGGGTATAAATAGAAACCCCACTTCCTTGTTGAGTAGAAGCCAAACTTGTGGTTGAAGGCATTTGCTTCGCTGTCTCATGGGGTTCTGGCACAGACCAGGACAAATGGCATGCAATTGCTTCTCAGTCTCACGGGGTTCTGGCACAGACCAGGACAAATGGCAATCTCAATTAAAGAAGACTCTAACGTATATTTACAATCAGTTTTAATTTCTTAAAGTGAGGGTGGGATAGACTTTTAAGTGTTGTCTGTTGGTCGAGAGACTGCACAGCGTGAGGATAACGAAATGCTGGAAGAGGAAAGGGTATAAATAGAAACCCCACTTCCTTGTTGAGTAGAAGCCAAACTTGTGGTTGAACCTTTCTCAACGAGAGTTTGCTGAGATCCAGATAGGCAGCTGGAGGCAGATTTCTGAAGAAACCAAAAATTCTGAGGTCTGAGGTGGGGATGGACATAGTACCTACTGAAGGCTGGGCTGAGTATTGCTTTCCTGCACAACACCTGGCTGCAGCCCTTGGAAAAATTGAGATATTGGTGGAACTCGGAGAACGTTGATGTAAATCCAGCACCAGCTCAGGGAAAGGAGAAACGTACGTCTGACCTTTGTTGGGCCTGGGAATGGCTGAATGGAACTTAAAAACGGCCTCCGGGCTGAGGATTTGAGTATGTGGACAGTAGGATAAATAGATCTACTGCTCTCTTTTTAGCCTCCCGGGCTGAGGATTTGAAGCATGTGGACAGTAGGATAAATAGATCTACTGCTCTCTTTTTGAACTTGAAAATATTTTTCTGTTGATAAGTAAGGGAATATTTCACAGCAGTGAGCATGATTATTTTTTTCCTGATAAATTTTTCCCAGTAAGGCCATGGATATTACCCATTATGCTGCTGCTTTTTGAACCATATGACACTGCATGGAGCACCCTTTATTTCTAATTCTTATAGTATCTAGATGGTATGTGACATTTTTAGGTATATGACTTAGGTATTTTTTTAATAGGAGTTTTATGACTGAAATATTGCATAATGCTTTTAAACCAAGGGATATATGAGCCAGAATCTAATTGTTTTGTTAAATGAGTCATCTTGTCTGTTATCTCTTAGTTAAAATACAGCTTTAAACTTGCTGTAGTTCAAACAAATTAATTCAAGAGATCTCATGGCCTGTATTCATGCAGGAGGTTGGGCTGTATGATTCCGGCGGTCCCTCTGGCCTCATCTATGGACATATTTGCTGTTCAGTTCCGATGAAAGACTTTTTTGGGAAGTGGTGGTGGGTATTTGGTAGCCCTTCCTACTGAGGTCATATGTTTGTAATTTTTTTTAGAGCCAGTTTGCAGTGGCTTGGTTTGGCAAAATTGTAATTATAGACCTATTTACATCAGGGTTGAGGAATTCTGTCTATTTGGTGTTTGCCTTCATCCACCTTCCCACCACGTAGGTAGATGGGAAGAGGAGATTGCAGGGTCGCAGTGGAGAAGAGGGAAAGCCAGATCAGAGGGAAGCATTTGAAAGGCTGAGCCTGAAGAGAGAAGAGAAATTATGGTTCCAGTTAAGGAAAGATATTAGAATTTAGGTCAATGGGAAACCAAGGCAAGGTGGACAAAAAAAAGGCTCAACAAGATGGGTCAGCTATGGGAAGGTTGGGAAGGTTGGGGACTGGTGGAGCTGGGGAAGTGTGTGAGAGTTAATTCATTATTTGGGCTGGTAGAAATAATGCTGACTAATCTGTCTGGATATTCGAGATGGGAACTGGTAAAAATACACTGAAAATACTGATTTATATGGAAAACTATTCTATCCTAGTGATATAATTTAAACTTGTTTTCACTTTTATCCACAACAAACACACCGAAGATGTGCCTTGCTGTCCTCTTCAGGTATCTGTTAGCCATTTTCACATCTCCCCAAGCCTTTGCAATCTTTCACTGCAGAGTCCAAGACCTCTTATAATTTTTCTTTGTAGGCCTTTTTACTTCATTACAAATGAAAAGGGTTGGTTTGGCATAGTTTATTTTCATGGCTGTTACCTCATGGTCTTACAGGTGCTTACAAATTTTGTTTTTCACCATATTGTGCGGTGGAATGGAAGATTAAATGACTTTTCATCTCCTTTATTCTTCCCCCCTCCCTTTTTTTTGATGAGATGGTGTGAATCCAAGTGCTTTGGAGTATTTTATATAGATTTTAAAAAGATCTTGAAAAGCGTCACTGGCTTCCAGGCATGGGCAGAGCTGGCTGCTGTTCCCAGAAGCTCCTGCCAGAGAAACCTCTGGAGAAAAGGCAACAGGAAAGCCAAAAACACAGGTTTACCAAAGGAGTTAAACTCCAGTAACTCGAACCCTTTCATTTAGAATTGCCTCTTTAAGGATACAGATTTTCAAAATACTCCAGAAAGCGGTGTCAGTTCGAATAAAAATAAAGTCAGACTTTTGTGCCTAAATCTTTCATATTGCTAAGCTTTTTCATCTTTCTTACAAACTCTTTGCTGAGTAGCACTAACAGCAGAAGGAGATAATCCACAAAATCTTTACAACTTCTTTTACACCCTCCCACCGACAGAGAAGATGGGAGAAGGTAGGCGAGGTGGATATTTGTTTTATAATATCTGAGAAGCTCGTACCGTGTCTCCTCCTTTGTCACTTTGCCAGCATTAGAATTGAAATTGTCTTGAAATGTGCAAAAATAAGGGCCTTGCTTTTTTTCTTTCTTTCCTTTTTTTTTTTTTTCTCTGAGTTTTTCCCCTTAACTAATTGCCACAGATTTATTCAAAGGTTTTGCAGACCACTTCTTAATGTTTTTCTCTTTCCTCATGTTCAAAATTGTAACATATACATGTGGCAACAGAGTTCCCCCTTTCCCAAGAAATTGTATAATTTGATTTTAGGAAAACTCAAGAGTTTTTATTATTCCGTATAAATTATGAAGGATTTCTGTAATTTAATAGGTGTGTTTTTCCTTTCCTAGGTGACACGATTGATGATCAAAGTAGAGAGTCAAAGGATAAAACTTCCTTCCCAGAGACCAGACCGATGTACAACCAACCTGCACAGGTAGGAGACTATTTCCTTACACACACCTGATGCAAATTCCACAGCAGCTCATTTAAGATACATGAATCATAGAATCATGGAATGGTTTGGGTTGGAAGGGACCTTAAAGATCATTGAGTTCCAACCCACTGCCCTGGGCAGGGACACCTCCTACCAGACCAGGTTGCCCAGATGTCCTGCAGGAGGCAGTTCCAACACATTCAATGCTCTGGATCTTCCCTAGACTGGGAACGTGCTCAGCCTTCCTTGTCAGCTCTCATAAGAGAAGGATTTCTAGGAATTAGAAGGCAATATTATCAAGGCCACCAATATTGATTTGGAAAAGCAATAGTAGTGTGGCTGGGCTGTAGGTGCTGCTGAGCACTGTATTTTTGTACTTGAAAGGTGTGAGCATGAAACTGTATGCGGAATGTTACCCAATGGTTAGCGTGGTGAGTGGTAATGGAAAATGTCAAACATTTACATAAGGCATTTATTTCCACAGCCACCATTGTAAGTAACGTGCTGTAGATGTGTGAGTATAATGGGCTGTCATTAGTGTGTGTTTGCTTTCTGTTTCAGCACTGTATGGCCATAAATCTGGCCTTCTTTTTCTTCATCTGGTTTATTTAGTATTTAATCCATGTATACCAAAGAGGGCTTTTGAGAATATTTTTGCATGTGATGACACATATTTTCTCCTCCATCTCCTCTGAAAATGTTTTTGTGATGAGTATGAGCCCGTTTTCCATTGCCATGTAGTTTTAGATATTTGCAAGATAACTATAAGACATTTTGCTTGGACTTTTTGTGCTGTTGGGGTGTTAGGTGGGGGTTTTTTTTGCTTAACCTATATTTTCTCCTTCTCCTTTCTAGCCTTGAAACTAACTGAGTCTCTGTCTCTCTCTCCTCAATGCCTCAATTTTAATATTTATTATTGCTAAGTCCCTTGGTTGTTGCCTATCAGATAATGTTGCATCTTTAAGATGGGTCAACACCTGTGCGTGATCAGTAGTCTCCTTTTTTAATTTCAAATTAAACACTACATCCAATACATAAATCTTTTAATTCATGTAAGTAATGAGTGGTTTCCCTTATGATTTCCTCCTTGGGGAGGGACTCTCTATCAGGGAATGTAGTGATAGTATGAGGGGTAACAGTTTGACACTGAAAGAGGGAAGATGGAGATGAGATGTAGGGAAGGAATTCTTTGGTGTGAGGGTGGTGAGAGCCTGGCCCAGGTTGCCCCGAGAAGCTGTGGCTGCCCCATCCCTGGAGGGGTTCAAGGCCAGGTTGGAGGGGGCTTGGAGCAACCTGCTCTGGTGGGAGGTGTCCCTGCCCAGGGCAGGGGGTGGCACTGGATGGACTTTAAGGTCCCTTCCAACCCAAACCATTCTATGATTCTGTGATAATGTGGGAATACAAATGAGTTACAATTAATCACAAAATTTTAGTCTCCTTGTGCATCTGAGAATTTTGGGGCAGTGTAATGAACTGATGCTGTGGTTACCTCCTGCACAGCCAGAATTTCCCTTAATGTGATGTTCTCAATAGGGACTGGGAGCTGCCAGTTACTGCAGCGTCAGTGGTTTGTTCAGTTCTGTGGAATTTCAGGAAAATAGGATCTTGTGTAGATTTTAAGTGTTTATGAGTTAGAGGAAAGAAGCAAAGATTTCAAAATAAACTATCAGATATTACAGCAAAAAATAAAACAAAGATTTATTTAAAATTTTCCTTTAAAAGACATATATGCCACAAAAATACTTGTATAAACTGGCTTGTGACAACAACAGTTAAATTAAGATACAGCATTTGGTAGTATCTAAGTTATTAATTCCAGTCTAGATTTCAGTATTTTGACTTTACGTTTACTCTAAGGAGTCCTCAGTTTCTCAAATTAAATAGAGTAACCAAGGATCATGGAAATGAAATGGGTAATTCTGGCCATTAAAAAAGCAATATTGCTCCTTGCAGTGGTGAGTATAATTGTTCCTCTTAGCAGTATGAGTATATTTTTATAAATTTGTGGGAGAACTCTACCAATTTAGCAAAACTGGAAAAGCGTTGTATTTCATGTTCGATATGTCGTGCAGACATAGAATGTTAATTGCAATAACAAACTTGTTAGCATGAAGACAAGAATACTTCATAGACAGAGTGCTTTAAAATCTATTTGTTAGGCTGCAAAGTAGTGTCAGAAATTGGTCATGTGGAGTTGAACAGAAGAGAAATGTGATTGAAAGAAGAATGAAGTAATACTCTGTTCATGGGTCACTTCCTCATTCAAAAGGGAAATGAGGTTGAGTTTGATTTTTTTTTTTTTTTAAGTATCTTCTGGAGTATTTTTTGGTGAATGACATCATCTTTGGCATTTCCCATTTACTTGGGTACTACTGGATTTGTTTGCTGTACAATCACTGAATTCTCAAATACCTATTTTTTGTATAATCTTGCATAAATTATTGAAACTCACAAATAAAAGTTGACACCAAGAGCAGCTCCTGGCAACGAGCAAGAGATGACAGAACCTCTTGTAACAACTGCCCCACCTGCACTCTGCGTTATTTTGGGAGGGTTTGATATTGCATGTGTGTTGGAGGAACTGCAGATATTTAGAAACTGGTTGGAGGAAGGGTGTTCTCAAAGGCCAGCTTTAGCCCAAACGTTTCATCTTCTGCTGCAGAGAGTGGGAAGAGAAGCTCCTGCTTTGAATGGTGACCCACGCAGTGTCTTCTCCATCTTGGTGGGTATGGGTGGAGGTTGGGAGGGTCATCTCCCAATGCCCACATGCAGTGTCCTGCAGGGTAATTAGTGCTCTGGGTCTAATCAGACACGTACCATCCTGCTGAGGTTGCTTCAGGCTCAGGAACTAGAAGTCAGAGGCACATTTAAGTGCTTTTCTGGACTGGGGCCAAAATCCTTAGGGCCCCGCAGGGCCAAGAACTTAAAGGAGTCTCTCTGTGACACTGAAATACAAAGCTGCTAATTTTAACTGCAAGGCCATCGTAATAGAAAGAGATACTACGTTTTATTTCATCATGCTTGCCAGTTTTCTGTTATTATAGTACAATTTCCAGATAATTCAATCTTTATCTGCTCTCACTGGGAATTCAGGGTTAGAGAAAAGAATGGGAAGGTTAGTTTTGATATATGAAGAGTGCAGGAAACCCTGGTGACGTGGTGGGCTTATTTTTGATAATGAGCTGTTCCGTTGGTAAAGCAAATTAGTGCAACCATGTATTTTTGTCCTACTGTGAGAGCAATTATGCACCATATCTATTAGGAGGCATAAAAAAAAAAATATTTTGACAGATGGTATGGCTGTGAATTAGGATTTATGAAGATTATTGTATGTCTGGTGTCCGGGACACCTGGGATTATTAAATTGATGTAAGAAACAACAACAACAACAAATTTCATTTCTGATAATAGCTGCAGTGGTTTGTGTCTCCCCACTGTCACCTTAAGAAGCAGCTTGTGTTTATTTGATATTGCGCATCCTGAGAATCTGACATGTGCTTTGAGCCAGCAGATATCAGCAGATTTAATGGGTGAAAACTCTACCAGTAACTGTATTAAAATAAGCTACCAAAAAGAAAAGCTGTCTTTAGATTGTAAATTAAGATTTTTCTCTTGCTGGGTGTTCTTTTTGTTTTGTTTTGTGTTTATAGTCCTATTTCTCCCTCTATCTAAGGAGCTTGTTACGCATTTTCTAGGGCAAGAGAGAATCCCCCAAGGGATTGCTTAATCCATAATTATCTAATTTATATGTTGTTGTTATAGCCACTCTTAATTATATACCTTGCTGTGATTCTTACCATCACAGGACGTAGCTTTCTTTATGAATTGCAATAGTTCTGGTATGGTCCTTGTGCCCTTTCTTTTTGTAATTTGCTGCTATAAACCCAGAATGGAGCAGAGAGAAAATCTACATTTCCTGAAGTAAATTTAAAATCATCTATGGTTTTCTGCATAGAGATAGCGGTGGGCACTGGTTTTGGCAAGTACCTAAAGAAATTAGAAAAAAATGCTTTTATAACTGAATTGGAAGATAATATCCTTATTAAATTGATCCTTTGTAAAGCTGCTGTATAAGGATTCTGAACAGAGGTAAATAAGAGTTTCCTGGCATCTGGTTAGGGGTCGGATTAGTCAATTGGAAAGACAGAAATAATATGAGATATAAAATATCAAGGAGGAGATAATGGGAGGTGTGGGTGCACAGGGCGGAGGGGGGAATAATATAACTTTCTTTTTACTCATTTAGAGACATTAGCAAGTATTGCTGAAGGTGATGGACTTTTAAGATACCCTTTGGAGCCCATCTCCTGATAGAATGAGCAGAGATGCTGATTTTATTTTATTTTTTAAGAAAAAAGATAACATTAAAATTAATTTATTCTTCCAGACCTATTATTGCCCAGTTTTCAGTGAAGCTCAGCTGACTGGATTGTTTTGAGAAGTTACTGGAAAAGGAGCTGGTACTGATTGTGTGTCTCAGTGTACAGGGCAGAGGGCCCTGGATTTTAAGACTCGAGAAGGATGTTCTGGGCTGGATTTATGGCATCATTTTAAATTCTTACATTTGCTTTAGAGAAGGGAGGGGGGTTATATTTCAAAATTATTGGCTGATGCTTCTGATTAGTTTGCTTTTTTTTGATAAGATATTGTTTCTGTAGGGGGGTTATATTTCAAAATTATTGGCCGATGCTCGTGATTAGTTTGCTTTTTTTTGATAAGATATTGTTTCTGTAGAAAATGTTACTGCTTAGATTGGCTTTTTTTTTTTTTCTTTAAGCTCTCCTAAGCTGGAATTCTAGCCGTGGCCTGGTTGGATTAATTGCTTGTCATATGTCATATTAATTCCAAGATCTTCTTTTTTACCTACAAAGCCCTTAAAGCGTGTTGTTCCATATTTTCTCTCTTCTTAATTGGGTATGTAAGCAATAATCACTTAATGAAATTATCCAGTCTTAGAAGGGACCAGAATAGGTCTGTAGCAGGTCATCAGGCAGGTTCTT